TAGAGGTCTTTTAATATCTCATGAGCCGCGAAATGCGCGAAAGGCGTGGCGTATCCCCATAATTCTTCTAATAAGCACGTTGTGAAAACATTGACTCAGAACTAGACCATGTGCATCATTACAAGTAGACATGAACTAAGGCGCTCGGGCATCAATAAAGTCAACTGGCGAACGTTCGTTATATATATATATATATATATTTATACCTACCTTAATAAAAAACAAATATACCTACGCTCTATTTGTTTTTTTATAATTGAGAAGATTTTATGCAGTTGCATCAATAAATATGCCCCATTACGCCATTCCCAGTTAGGTCGTGTTGATACGCCCAAATAGGCTATCTAAGCGGAATTTTTGCAATGAATATCAGAACGATGAGTTTCGCCAGGCTATTAAAGCGAGTTCGTATTCGTATTTGTAAGCAAACTGCGGCGCACGGGAGAAAATAAATAAAAATAGTGGAAATAACTGTGACACGTGCCCGCATCTACTACGCAGAAATTGCATTTTGATAAGGTGTACAGGTGGTTCGAAGCTACTTCAGCTTTATCTTTCTATTTAGAGGGAGCCTCATAGCATATTAATTTCAAACTCACTAGTCACGACGTGCCTTTTTTTATTTTTGCCTATCGTAATTAACTATATCCTGCATAGCAACATGACAATATGTTCTCTTTCTAATTGTAGTGGATGCCAGTAGTAAATTATCGCCGTGGAATAGACAGTGGCGTAAAAGGTTATGATGTATTGCATGCATGGAGCGGACTGCTCCCTGGTGACTGCTTAATTGCGATTTGCTGCCTCCAGCTAGTTATTTTAATGCGAAGTGAAAATATTTGTCGCTAATCATTAATGAATTAATTAACTAAACACGTGCCAAACTGACTTTATAGCCGTTTTCGAAAAAGTACCTTGGGAGAAATAACATTTACTACAGTAAATTAAATCGTTTATTTGTATTCGAATATTTAAAAATTCCATTGAATAAAGCACCTACATTAATGAAGATATCAAATATTTAACTCTAAAAACTAATTGAAACAGCTAAAATCAATCAAAATATTTACTAAACACAACTAATTATAGTAATTAGTATTTTTCAGATGTAAATATACAGCTGATTCACAAATGATGACCAAAAGTGAAACCTAGTATTCTTTGGTGAATTTTAAGAGGAGTATTTCCCTTAAAATTTTTATCTAGGACGCTTCGTTAAACAGATACAGGGTGTTGAACTTCCAAAAATATTTTTAATTTTTTTAAATTATTTAAAAACTAGTACTTAAGTAAAATAATTTGAAATTGGGCACATGTGTTTATGTAAACATTGTCCAGAATCTGAGGGCTTTTCCTAAAATTTCCATCCTCCAGTGGCGGAGATACAGGGTATCGGTGGCATATTTTTGTAAATAAGACAGTACGCCGCTGCTTTACGGTAACAACCATTATATTTTGGGATTCGTTTTTCAATTTTCTCCAAATTACTACTCCCTTATGTTTTTCGAAAAAAGCCTGATTTTCGAGTAAAACTTAAAAACCGAACTGAGAACACATTTCAGTATTCGAATATAATGCTTTTTAAAATTACATAGTGGGCTGCGATAGCAACTTTCACATTCTGGGCAGTTAGAAGAAAAAATAAATAATGCTTTTCATAAGGTTCAAGCAACAATAAATTTCGAACAAATTACATTTTCGTTATTAAAAAGATGTCGGGCCTGTGTTCGTGGAAATTGAGGTATTTTTGAGCATTTACTCAAATAAAATCATTAAAATGATGGCTAATGTTACTAATTTCTTTATTCGAATAAATAACCGAATGATTAGTGCTTGTCATGTCATTTAAGTAAAAGTGTTTTCAGTAGATTTTTTAAGTTTGATTCGAAAATCAGGCTTTTCGAAAAACATAAGGGGGTAGTAATTTGTAGAGAATTAAAAAAAATTAAAATATTTTTTGAAGTTTAATTTTTTTAACGAAGCGACGCTAGATAAAAATTTTATAGGAAAGACCCCTTAAAATTCACAAAAGAATACAAAGTTTCATTTTTGGTCACTATTTATTAATCACCCTGTATATTTTCTAAAACATAATATACGTCTGTACATACATTTTAGTAAAAAATAAATATCTAAATACTTACACATACAAAGAGGAAGCTAGTAAAGAAAGTTAACGAATTACACTGAGGGTTGTTGAAAATTAAAATGGTCATATTTTGATAATAAAATGTGGGACCCACACCTTTTTATTAATAGATGATTTCAGGAGAACATTAAAAATTAAATTACACATATATTTGCAAATTTTTTTTTTTTTTTTTCGTAGTCATCTGATGAATACAAACTTTGTTCTCAAAATTTTTATTTTTTTTAGTAACAGTAGTATGAACTTTGAGAAATAGAATAGCATTAAATTGAAATTCTGCAAATTATGAATAATTTGTCATATAATTCATCTAACTTATCCTCAAATAAGAAACACGTTGATTCAAATTTAGAGTGCTACCCAGTTTGAATTGAATGTTCTGCCTATTATATCTATATCTTCCATCAACAAACCTATAGAGACGTCTTCAAGCTATAGTAGTCAGAGAACGCTTCAGAACCTCCTTACTCATATTATTATTGATTCAGGCATTCAGTCTGAGTAAAAGGATTTAAAAAGGTTGACCAAATCATTACTCTAGATTAAAATTAGATACTCTCTAACTAACGACAGTGCTCATTTATATTGTAGACTTTCTTGGACTATTATCTGAATACTAAGTTGATGCACTCACATCTTATTAGCAACACCGACAGCAAGTAAAACTAAGAAATCGGTAAAGTACTGCTGGATGTTAGGAAAATATATAGAATCTAACAGTTTGGTATAACAAATGTTCAGTCGTTACCACTGGGCGGAAGGATGGTTCGATCGGAGTGATATTGGTGTCGTTATATAGGTTGGCTCTGCATTGAATAGAGGTGATCCGGGCATGGGGAGGAAAATGGCGAACCTTTACATTCTGGCTATTTTGATAAGACTCTGTCGATATTTATGTACGTTATAAGTAAACTTTGCACAAAAACTAAGTTTTTCAAGGCTTAGCGTTTTCGGTATTTTCCAGAGTTGTTTTATTCTGATAGTAGAAATATATTCAGGGTGGTATCTTTTATCGTTTTATCCTTTTTGAGTTACAAGGCGATTTTTAATCTTCATCAAAATTGAGAACACCTCTCTTTTTACAGTAAATGTAAAATTGAAATACATGCCATGATAAAAATAATTTTGAGTTTATTTTACTACGTTATAAGCATATCCGTTAGGGTGAAGCAATACAACATTTGTGTTAATTCCTAGGAACTGGGTAAAACGGGCCCAACTCTGTTTATACGTCGATGGACAAAATTTTGAACAGTTGTAACATTAGGGCCAAATTATTTTATTAATTAAAACTACAAATTAATTTTATTAATTAATAATGACAATAGCGACAAAAGCAGTTGAATTTGCTGATATAAAGTAGGTGTTATAAAATTGTATTTATTTCTTTCCTTCGGAAAGAAATTCTTTCAATTTTTTGTTTGTTCATTTTTTACTGCACTTTCTCGCCGTGCCGGTCGCCGACTTCATGCTTTGCCTTGCGTCAGGTTTTACAGTGGACCAGTTTCCAGTGCCGTGCAGAAATGTATTTTTAAATCATTTTCAAACTGACCATGTTGATTTTTTTTACAAAATTGTATTTGTAAGAGTTCCCTCTACATTCAAATTTTTTTTTTTTGATAAGTTTTGAATCACCTAGTATATTCATTATTTATACTCTTTCATTTTCAAAAACGCCCTGTATACACAAACAGTGTACATATACATATACAACTATACACTTTGAGTAATTTGATTGTTTGGAAAATGTTTAATATCTTAAATTCCTAACATTTTACTACCTATTCAATATATTACTGATCACTGTTTAGTGTTATATTGTGGCTGGATTCTATTAAATGTCTATAGAGGTTTATTATTCTCTCGAGAATAATGTATATCATCCGGAGCACTGCAGGAGAGGAGCAATAATTCAACCGAAGTTCTAATATCTATAATAATTTGTAGAGGAATGGCAAGAGCCCCAGGCGGGGCGAGGCACATCTGCCCACAATTTGCTTCTGTGGCAATTGCTCAGGAATTGCACTGATCGGACTAAAAACTGGTGCACCTTTATGTACAATGCTAGATATGTCTTTACTTAAGCGAGAAGTAACAGATGGCTTAAGCGTCTTAGCAAATATAAAAGCAGTACCCAGGATATTACAATAATTTACTTAATATAAAGTAATACTCTTTAATTGCGTACTAGGTACATGCTTTTCTGACATTGAACGTTTTTTTTATTTAACCTGCAATTTTTCCGTACTGCATATTATTACTATTGTTAAATCACAGACTAAATTAAAAAAATATGCAGGGTGATTCAGTCATAATGTCATTAATTTTAAGGGAAGTTAGGGAAAAAATGAGTAGAATATGAATACGCGATTAAATCGATTTTAAAATGCGTATTTACGCTGAAAAAAATTTTTCCAAATCATTATTAAACCTCTTTTCAGACCACTCCTGACCGCTGACCCACAAAGGTTTATCGAGAGTGAATCTTGACCTACCGTATTATTCGGTCACTAACCTAGTTTTTACTACGTTTTTAATGCGTAGTGAACGACAAGGAATAAACAGATTTTTTTGCCTAAGATATTTTTTGTATTTTAAATACATATTAACAAGTATTATTTATTTGTTAATAAAAACAAATGTAAGGATTAAATGTAATTGTTTTCTAATGTTAGATTATTACAATTTACTATTTCTAATATTATTAATGTTTTCAGTATGTTTTATAATTGAATATGAATTTTTAGTATTATGTTCAACTAATTATTCAGTTTATAGTACGTATATCAAGTTACTTATTGGTATTCATGGTACCTACCTATTTAAAAGGCCGGTGCGGCTAAAACAACACTTATCCGCCCATAGCACTTTATTTGTTTTTTATTCTTTAATAGGCCTTCTCAATAAATGGTTAAAATTAATGACACAATGACTGAACCACCCTATATAATAATCAAATATCATTTTAAGTAAATACACTTTCTAATGAAAAAATGCGAAAATTCTATGAATTTTTTATGTAAAACAAATATGTAGGTATGTACAAAATAAACCTATATATAAACATAGCTAAAAAAATATATGTTTTTGCACGCAGCAGGCATTTTCTAAATAATTTCTTTCTAAATTCTAGAAACCAAAGGGGCCTTCTTAGAACATTTGGAAAAACTCATCTGGAAGCATGTCAAGCCAGATTGTCGGTGTTTTGGGTTTAGAACTAAAAAAATGAAGCTGCTCCAATGTTAGCTGGTGTATCAACAACATTAACATCTTGAGTCAAGAGCTGTTTTCTTTTACTCATGATTTCTGAATCATAACGCGTTACGATCCGAAATCTAGCAATCTGATTGGTTTCCATCGGATCGTAACACATTATGATTCCGAAATCATGAGTAAAAGAGAAGGGCTAAATTTAGTAATGAACATTTGCAATTCGGTAGATCAATCCTACATTTCTAGAGGTACAGAACCAGCTTCAGCAGGAAAACGTGCTACCACGTGTATCATCTTGGAAAAACTGCCCTTCTTGAGGTATTGTAGACAGTATTCATATTGTCTTTTCTTTAAATGCGGCCTATATTATAAGTACAGATATTCATTAAAAATCAAATTTATATTTCGTGCTACTTCACAGCGCTATTTGTGACGAAACATGAGAGTAAAAGACTTAACTGTTCAACCGTTATCAGTTACCTGTAACGCATGAGTATTGTTATTTATAAATTTGTAATGCGGTTTTAAATAAATGAAATAATCCAAAACTAGAATTTTGATATTCTATGAGCTACATCCGTTGTACATATGATACAGGTCCTTGCTATATATTCGTTCTTTTCCTTGATCTTATTGACGGCTTATCCAATTAATTTTCCAGAAGGCTGATCCTCATCTAGTTATTCTGGCTCGCAGATGGTGCGTACTCGATGAATTATGTTGTTCTGGGATAGTGATGAGATCCGAATGGGACAACTTCTGTAAACACGGTGTCTTAGGATGCCTTAAGAAGTACATCTCGTATATAGGTACGAAAAAGTACGAAAGTACGAAAGTGTATGATTTTTTTCTATATTCATAATGAAGCTGTTGTCTAAATGTATTCCATGAATAGATTCTTCTATGTTGTTACATCAGTGAAGCTAAATGAAAAATGTATCACAAATCTGATTCAACACTTTGGCTTTAAAGTTCTATCCTCTCGAAGCTTCCGTCCATCTTTGCGGAAACTGGGGGCAAACGTCAGCCTATGGCTGTCCTCCTTCAGTTTATTCATAAAACTGATCCTTAGAGTACCTAAAAGAAGGTCCATTTGATTCACACTTATGGTTATTAAATTTGCATCCTTCTTTACTGCGATGATTCTTCGATGAAGTTATTTGGAAGCTTCTTTAATTGGTACAATATCACGTCAAAATTCACTAGGAAGTCGTCTGAAACAAAAATATGGAAAAAATATAATGTTTAAATCAAACTAATCGTATCCGCTTGCATTTATTCAACGCGTCCTCCTAGCTATACGGCCGATCCTGAAGATCTTCGCTACATATGCGGCGAGTGTATTAAATAACGTTTAAGGGTTAACAGCCTACCTCACCTAGAAAAATAGGGGCGCGTGCACGTTGCCGCACACCTTGTCATTTTGTATTCAATGGTGGGCGTTTGGGGACGCAATCATTGCGACAAGCTTATATAACACTATTATAGCGATATAATCGTGTGGTGGCAGACGTTGGTATCGCATTCAGTTTGGTGGTCCCTCAGAATTTGTATGTTGAGCTTGTTTTTGAGGGAATGTCAATTAGATTAACGGACAAAAACAAATTTTAGTCACCAACGCAAAGTTTCTATCAACGTCTCTCAACGCATTTATTTTATTAAAAATAACTTACACCTGAAATATGATGCACAAGTACTACACACAATAGAGAATTGATTATTTTTTTTAATAAATGAAAAATACCAGGCTTGAGGAAGAGTCATTCAGATTTAGGGGGAAGTGGGGAAATATTAATCAAAGAGAATAATTTTTCAATTTCTTTGTTTTTTGATTCCTCAATAATTACAATTAAATAAAGTTATAAAAATGTTTGTCAAAAATCTTGAAATTAGAGACTTCAAGCTTCAGAACTTTTTATCTCGACAAAAATCACTAAAACATTTTAAAAATATTTTTGTTCCTCTAGGTTCTTCCAGTAATGCGTATAAGACAAAAGAAAGTGATAGAAGAAACATCAAGCGATGTGAAAACTAATGAAAGGAACAACTAATTTTAACGAATAAAAAAAATTCTGATACTCTTTTTTGGAGGCGTATAATCTCAGACAGAAATGATAATTTTTAATTTAATAGATTATTTTAGAGCTGTCATAATTGGCCGCGCACCAAAGGCGTGTATCATAATCAACATAAAATAAAGTGAACAATGATTGTAAAATTTGTGTCATTGTGTCATTGGGAAACACGCAAATTGTTTTACGCATCGTTGCCATCGGTTCCACAATCTGAATGGGATCCATTATAGATCGCACCATCAGGTATGTTTCTACCCTTATTTCAGCGAAACTTATTCGCGGCGATGATAAAATATTTCAATCTGAATAGAACAACCGTTCGACATCTACTGATGTAATATTTGCATAATTAAATACTACTTCCAGGCTGGTCCGACATGGTAATATCCACTCGGGGTTGTATTTATTCCAGTAGGAATTTTCCTTTACTTTCATAAAATTCTTTTCTATTCCAAAAAATATATCTATATCTATTTTTTTTAGTCAGTACAGTATGGATTGTTTGATGTTTTTCAGCACTAACTACGCTCGACATAATTACACACAATAATTATGCATCAAAAGACGACTAAAATCGTAAAGGAAATCGGTGACTAAACCGACGCGACAGCTAGACTGATCGCGTGGCTCACGGCGCTAATTGTTAGCGAACCGATTGTGACAGCTCTAGATATTACCCATATTATTGGTCGGTTCTGCCACAATTTTTAAATAAGATAAATGCAATTAATATTTGTTTAACAACTGAAACATTTTACTACAATTATCTTGATGACAGTGCATTGGTTTAAAAATATGAATATATCCTTTTATTTTTTACTTAATTCTCAATGAAGTGTATTTTATGTTATTGAAACTCTGCATGCTCCTAGAAAAAGTAGCATCGCCTAAAGTGCCTTTCATACGTTGATGCCCCATTTTCTCACGTCTTTAAATATAGCCTTATAATTTCATAAATACATACTTGCATGTGTTATTGAATATATTAAACCTTTCAGATTCATCACTGTTAATTATTCCTGACGGCTGCTAACTTATCAAAAGTATTTGCATAAATTCTTATGTTCTTTCATTGTGCAATTATAAAGCACTTAACACATATAATTTGTAACGAGTTACACAAACAGAGGCCGTAATCGGCGACATGCAGTATGTAAATACTCATACAGAGAAATCTCTACTCCTTTCTAGAAGTTCGGGATCATAAAATTTGTGCAATTTTATGAGGTACCAGTACAAGTTTGAACTGCTTGAGGCATGTGAAAAGCTATTATTTTTATAAAAATAAACAAATAATAAATCCTTGTCTCTGTCCTTTTCTCCGAAAAGACCGTTGAAGGAGTAATTTAGTTTTAATATAATTTCACATAATAAAAACTGCAAACAATATATTTTAAGTTGATCGACTTCTTAATTATTGAATCTTTACTCAACAAATTACTCTCCACCTGTATTCTAATGGACATATTTTGCCTCACCTTAAATATTGTAGTTCAACTATTTCAAATGATCTGAGACAGGCATAAAATTCGGGTACGTTGTAGTATGTGACTTAGCATCGATTTTAGTTGTTAGGTAGGCTACTGGAAAGGTCAGTTCTACATGTTTTCATCAGCCTTACTGAATACCTTTCAGCTGATGCAGAATTCAAAAATTTACTTTCTAGAAATTTAGAGATAATAATACAGCGTATTCAGTCAACAGATCTTAGAAACGAAATGCCATTTAATTTGTTACCGTTTGAAATTTTATTTCTAAATATGTGTCTGACCTTACCAATAACTGCACTGTCTCAAATGTTATCTTATGCAGATGACCTTAAATTGTTTTCCTCACCTTCTTCGCTTTTACACAATGATCTTG